CACTTAGTCGCGCTGCGAGCAATCCCAGGATTCCAGGACAACTAATATCTTATACCCGTTTTGCCCGAGGGAACTCGATTTCGTTATCAGAGACCACGAGAATTTTCGAACTGAATCACAAAAACAACTAAAAACAAGTTTAAATCAAATATTTCATTAGTATATAATTACATTTAGATTAATATGGGTTGGCAAATTTTAAAAAACTTTAGTTACTACAATTCAAGAACGTATTTAGATTTATGATTTAGTTTAGTTGATTTGTTTTATGAAAATAACACGAACACTTATGTATATGTTACCATAACAAGTATTTAGTGTTTGACACAAAACAACACTCGACTGTACATTTTACGTCAGAAAAATTGTCTACAGATAATTAATAAATTGTAGCATGAATATATAACTAACATCAGTTTTATTCTTAAATGATCGAATTACTTTATAAAAACATGAGTGTCATCCCGAAAGAATCAAATTCACACATATCTATTTACAAGTAATATTGGTTTAATACCATCATTTGTTCACTGTGATGGTCGCAGTATCGACTCCGATCACAGACAAATCTATTGCATTCCTACTTTGTAAATTTAGATTCGAACAAGGAACTACGGATCAGTTATAATACAGTGTATCAACATGCAACAAAGTAAATTGGTGTTTGTTTCAGTTCTGTTTTAATTACGTCGATAATTTGCCTCATATACATTTAATTCTGCACTTTAATGCCTTCGCTTGTTTTGAATCTTGTGCGTCTCCTTCTACTTAAATGATCACGCAGGAAAATTTGGTTCAGTCACGATTAATTGTTTTAATTACTACATTCCTACGTAATTTTTATATAAACTTATTTAGGATTGATTAAATATTCCAGTTATCTGTTTAAGAGTTAAAATGATACGAAATTCTAGTATACCATCACATCTGTCAAGAATCATGAAGTTTCCGTCGAAAACTACAGCACTTCTACTGTGCCAATACGACAGCTAGTTACAGCCCTTTCCAGGTAACCTCTACTTACAAAGTTATATAGTTCAGCGCAGTCAAAATATGTGAACCTATATTAAATATATATGAATGTGGGTTATATAAAATACTGTAAATACTATTACGTACTTATAATTAATATTCTCGTAAACTGCGTTTACATAATTCGTAACTACCCAGCCAAATCTGCTATAACGTAATTTGTTTATATCCGTCAGTCAAAACTTTTTTAATTACTGTCCGGTATTCGTGTCGCCTCTTTGAAGCTTGGGTGTGGCGTTAAGACGGCTTCGCGGCGTCTGATGGCGTCTCTTTCCCCCACCACCCGTGTCCCATGGCACACGAAACAGCGGCCACGACCCCCTCCTCACTTACAGAAACACGTGAACAAATACAAACTGTGGTGTTTCGTCCCTTACAAGTACGTTATACAAATGTTTTGAAGATAGACGTATTCGCTGTTGCCGGCTATCGTCTGACGCTGCAGAAACGGACCATCTGAGTTAATGAGACAGCTTCTGTTAATACGCGTATTTGCGTACAACGCGTCCTAAGTTTCCTAGTGATGGGACTATAGACATTTCACATTACATTTGTTATTTGAGTGTCCGAATTCAACAGTTAATTTCTTTGCTTTTGCTGGTATACAATTAACAAAAGAAAATATATTCAATTGTGAAATAAATAGACCTTTCCTCCTGTGTTATAGTGAAGAGAATTAATATGTTATCTTCTGACCAATATCTGATAGATTACATGATAATCATGTTTAACTTTCACTAATATTTACTACCAAATAGTTCACATGCCTACAACGTTTCCTCTGCTATATATAAGATATGTTGCAATTAGTTCTGGGATATTTCTCGCATCGAGTCCAAGTGTTTTATATCCTAATGAAGGGTGTTCAATGATTTTCTAACATTTCTTAAATTACATAGAACTAATCGCCAGGAACAGATAAAATTTAGATCAGATTTGAATAATTTTATAATTTACGTACTCAGCAACCACTTAAATTCCGGCTACAGACACAGCTTTTAATTGCTCACTTTTCAAGAAAGTCTATGACGGTGTTCCTCTAACAATAAGAGATGCCACTTGTCTACATCATGTTCCACGATGGTGCAGTGAAGTGTGGCGATATTAAACTTGTGTTTGCGTAGAAATTAGTATTTTGTAGAAGCAATTACTCTGGATAAATCTGTCTTATAAACAGTGAATCAGTTTTAAAGAAAAATTAAACGTGTATCACAAGTATCGTTGATTATCTTCAGACATGCAATAACCCTCAATATTGACCACAATCACAGGTTGTTATAAATTTTCTTTTAAATCGTAACATGCAGTTCGTTAAAAACGCAGTTATGTGCTGTTTCTATTGCTAAATACTTCATAGTTGCCAATTCTTTTATGAGCGCATTCTTAATAAGTTGTTAATGTATATCAGTATTATAGTTGAATTGTAGAAGACCGAAACGGCGGTCGAAAGAAGTGTGGAGAAGTAACCACAACACTGAACACGAACAAAAACACAGATCACAATTACACGTAAGTTCTGTTTCAACTGCTGATTAAAATATTCAACAGCATAAAAACCAGTGTGATCACAAACAAATAAAAGTTTCCGGCATTAGAACCCGTTCCCCACACCGTATTCTGGGTTCACCTCACTGTATTTTCATATCCACACAACTAAAGTATCTGACACAATCACGCCTTCGTAGGAGGGGAAGAAGGAGAAATATAGCGTTTTTACCCCCCCAAGGTCTGGGTATTTCGTGTCGGACAAATTGCTCCCGCCGTAACTTGGAAGAAAAGCAGTTGTTTATAACTGAACGGCGTATCCTTTTGGTGAAAGTACACTCCCGTTGTGAGGGTCACACCGGTTACGAAACAGACTACCACCAACTGAGAACCACGTCGTAGCTCCTCACACCTCTGCTCAGAGTAAAGACGAACTCTCTCTGACTTCTCTGTAGCGTCACCGCTGCCAGCAAGCTACCGCAGCCGACTTACTGGGCGCAAACCTCGTTTCTGTAGTCCTCATACCCTTTCGTCTCTAAAGTCACGCGCATGCGCCCCCCCCCCACCTCGCGTCGCTTGTGAGAGAAGGCGTCTGGACCCGTCCGTCGATGCTGGTGTCGCTACATCTGTTTGGCTGTATTCAAAACAACCGCCAACTTTTTCTTCAAGTTTAATTAACAATGGAGTTAATCGGTTTGTTTCGTGTAATACATGTTTGGAAAGTTAAAAGGTGTGATTTACTCCACTAATATTGGTTGGATTACATGTAATAGGTTCGAAGCCCGATAGATTGGTGGTGTCCGAAACACTCTCTTCAAATTTCCTACACTTATTAATTTTCAAAATATTATACTACATTCACTCCATTTAGGTTTCTTGTTCAATGTAATAATAGAAATTTGGAATGAAAAGTACAGGAATAAATACATTGACCTTCATATTGAGAATCCAGCGGCTGCAGAAATTCTCGTTTTCCCAACCTAAACTACATGATTTATTTTGGTCCATTTTAATATTATCGTCCGTTCTCCCCTTCCCTTCGGATTTCT